GGCACCCTAAGGAGGCCCTCTCTATGGGAGCGGACTGGTCGAAGGGAGATATTTGGTAGGAGGCGGTCTTGCAAATACCTAGGTCCATTGCCATGGAGCGCTTAAAAGTTGTTACTAACACCTTGAAGCGCACCCGGAAGGCCACCGGCAGCCAGTGCAGCTCGCGCAGGAGAGGTGTTACATGGGAGTATCTAGAGGCCCCCAAAATCCCCCGCGCGGCTGCATTCTGAACTAGCTGGAGCCTCTAGGTGCACCTGAAGGGGAGCCCCATGTAGAGAGCGTTGCAATAGTCCAGGCGGGAAACAACGAGGGCTTGAGTGACCGTGCGTAGGGCGTCCCGATCCAGAGAGGGGCGCAACTGGCGTATCAGCGAGCCTGATGAAAAGCCCCCCTGGCCACGGCCGTCACATGATCGTCTAAAGACAGCTGAGCATCCAGGAGGACGCCCAGGTTGCGCCCAGGAATACATACTATATTATGCAATATTATTTGATGTTTATATTAAAATACTGCATAGAATAGCACTTAGACTTATATACCGCTTTATAGTGCCTTATAGAACTCTCTAAGCAGTTTATAGAATCAGCATATTTCCCCCAACAATTTACCGACCTTGGAAGGATGAAAGGCTGAATCATCTTTGAGCCAGCCAGGATCGAACTTCTGGTAGTGGGCAGAGTCAGCTGCAATACTGCATTTTAACCACTATGCCACCATGGCTCCTTTTAATTCCTTGAAAATGAAGTTTTAATTTTTCATTCAATAATTAATTTAATAAACTGAACTGAAAACAAAACAATGTGCATTTAGCAAATGGAGACTGATCTGCTTTTTAAATTTTCTATCTGTTTTGAGGTGAAGTGAGAATGAGAGGATTTTGTTGATATAAGACCTGCCCCTACCAGGGACTAGTTGTGACTTTACTCTGGGTTCTTGGCCTGAGTTGCTGAAATAGAGATGATAATTAGTTTTCAAATCACTTTTGAGAGATTGGAGAGTAGAAATGATGGCAGTGTAGAAGTGCCCAAAGTTGTTAATTAATGTATATTGTACTCTTGCTATTTAATATATTGGCTCTCTTTCAGACTCAGGGTTTAGGAACTGCTTTGAAAATCTTATTCTCTGAAAAAGAAATAAAGAATCTTTCTGAGAACAATCCATCAAAAGGTTTTCAATTGACACGGCAAGAAATAGTTGCTCTTCTGAATGCATTTGGAAGGTAAGTTGCAAGTGAAATTTGTTATAGCTATGTAGTGATAGGCTGGGCTCTTTCTTCATGTGATATGGACTTTAAAAATATATATGTACAAGTAGTCCTCAATTTATGACCACAATTAAGTCCAGAATTCTTGTCATAAATCGTTGCAATAATTAATTTGACTCAATTTTATGATCATTTTTATGATAGTTGTTAAGCTAGGCTCCATGGTTGTTAAGCAAATCATGTGGTCATTTAGCAAATCCAGCATATCCAATGGTGTCTTTTGTTGTTTTCTGACAAAAAACATAAAAATTGTTGCAAATCACAGTCACGTGTCTGTAGTAAATGCAAGACAGTAACCAAATATCTGAAATGCAGTCATGTGACAATGGGGGATAGTACTGCAGTCGTAATTTTGAAAACAAGTTTGTAACTAACTCTTTTTGAGTCCATTTTATCTTCAAGTACGGTAAGTGTTACGGTGCCAATTGTTAAGTCAGGATTATCTGTATTTTCTCCAAAAGCTATAATCTCCTCTCACGGTAACTTACACAGTACCACCATTCACGATAAAAGGGAATCTAATCCATTTTAGTCAAATTAAATAGCTCTAGACTTTAAGTGCATCAGACACACACATAGTGTTGAAGGTGGATAAGATCATTATTTTAACGAACTGCAGTACTAAGTTTTAGATCAAATTGCTGATTTGATCTAAAAGTCAAGCTGGTGTTTCATGTACGAAGTGCTTCCTTCTTTTAATACTGAACTTCTCTAGACTCAGTCTTTCTTCCCTTCTCTTCCTCACAGACTTTCTACAAGTATACGAGAGCTACAGAATTTCAAAGTCTTACTGCAACAGAAAAGTTAACGAAGGCTTGGTACCTATTGGTAGAAGCAGCCACCAATTTAACACCAGGCAAAATGAAGCCAATCTGCATACAAAACTGTTCTAGAAAGGCAAGAATATATATATATTTCCAACTTGAATATTTAAAATAAAAAAGGTTAAGACATTGGACAAAATATTTATGTATAAAATACCTGGCTTTAATTATGTAAATTATGTTTGTTTTTAACTGTTTCACTGTTCTTACTCTCTACTACTTTTGTTTCATTATCATTCAAAAGAAATGTTGCCTCTCTTGCTTTACATCAACATGCAGGAACTTCATCCAGGCTGCATTGCTCACATGGAAAAGATTCTTGCAGCATTTCCTAAAAATACCTAGTGGAAATGTGTTTTTTATGTTTATTTGGAGGAATTGATGATATGTAAGAAAAATGCTTTCTTGCATTTATATTTCATTTGTTTGTTACAGTCTCTGTCATGGCCAGTAAATATTTTATTAAAATAAGCCCCTTGGCATCCAGGGGAACTAGTTATTGGGGAATCTCAAGTTATTTTTGTGTTTGCCTCCTTGCCCTCTCCTCTTTTCCTTTTCCTTTTTTTCATTTTTCTACAGCACAGCTGCTTTCTCTGTGAGGAGACAAAACTGGATTAAATTACTTTATCAGTTTTTATTCTGAGTGAATGATGAAAGGCTTTTCCCATTAACTGCTACTACCTTAAAAAAATTGGCTCAAGCTTTAGAGTCATGGACTTTAAATCTTCCATTTCAAAAACCTTACAAATTCCTCTTATTCTGGTGCTCTTCTATTCAAATAAAATAAAATAAAATATTTTCACAGACAAATGTCCAAAAGTCACTTCCAGAATTCAACAGAGCACATCCTATCTATGCAATCTGTAATTACACCTTTAAAATATAGTCTCTAATAAAATGTAATAAAATGGATATTCTATACATTTGTTCCTAAATCTTTAACAACTAGTTATCAGAGAACAGTTGCAGGTAATAAACATTTAAATTCTTAATCTGCAGTAGGAGGAAGTCTGCAAATTGTGAATGAGCACCTTATTTAAAAACTGTTTGTAATGTAATATTTGTATTCTGTGAGGGATGTTTGAATGAATGTCAGTTTAAGTACAATATACAGATTTGTACATATTTTGCTTTGCTTTGATAAGTAAAACAGTCTTTACAAAATGAATTAAAAGTGCTCTTAACATCTTCTAATTTAAGACATGTCTGCTGTTATTGTTCATGTGTGTGTGTGTTTGTATGTCTATTTATACTGCATGCTTTAAACAACATAATTCCATAACTTTGTGATTTAAGTATTTAAAAATGAAGTATTATTTATTCTCAACTATATATTTTTCTACATGTGTGAAATTTTCCAGTGATAACTAAATGAAGAAAACTGTAATGTATTGCCCTTATAATTTAAGACTTCATTGTTTATTGAAATCAATAGTGAGCCATATTCTAAAGATTGCATTCAATAAATATGAACGTCAGATCTTTATGGTAGACAAGAATAGTCTTGTGGTAACAGATTGTGAAACTAGGGAAACTGCTATGTGCCTTAGAATTTAATGTTACTGGTAAGATCTGTTACTGGTAAGATCTATTTCTTATTAATAAGCTTTGTAACATCCAATTTGTGATGAATCAGACATAAGATTTTGTCCAATGGAATGGAGATTATTTTTGTGAATTCATCCATTTCTTATACTTTTCCCCAATATCTAATCTAAAAGATAATGGGAAAGTTCAAAATAGTCTAGTGTGTTGCCAGCTGCAGGGGTAGATAAATGCCCCCCTGCTCAAAAGACCTATAGGCTTCAGAATTTGTGGGCAAATTTTAAAGCATGAGATCTGTAATTTTGCTATTTTTAATGTTGTCTTTTGAATGGAAATTGATACTTCAAAGTGTTTAATTTCCACATGTTAATGGTAAATACTGCTGAGTTAGCATGGAATCCATATGCAAGGTTTTTATAGCTTCAGTTCTTCCTTGGTGTCTGCTTCCTGAAACTCAAGTCACATGGACATGAATTCTTGAAGCTTTCTTTCAATTACTTCCTTATTTAAGGTAAGCAAAATATTGTTTTTCTCTCTTAATGCTGAATACAAGTTTAATGATATATCTATTTTAGAAGTATTACTTTGTCTTATTCATTTGCTTATGTTGATATTTTTATGGATGAAGCCAGCAGATCTCATTTCATGTGTATCTTGTGCTAAGGTAGATGTTGATTCTAAGTTAAGGTCCTATGAATAAGATTACAGGAATAGATTACTCAGGAATTTTGTTTACATCCAAGATTGTGAAGGCTACTATTTATTTAATTGGTTAAAAATTGGCTAAAAATACAGAAATGAAGTACCAAAAAACAGAAGTGAACTTATAAGTAGAAAACAATGTTGTTGTAGTCATTAGTTTTCAGACTTCTTGACTATTGAATTGCTTTTATATTGAATAAGGAATTTAATTGCTAAAATATGGCCAAACGCAAGAAGTCCTACAATTATTTCTGGAATTCTGAGTCTCATTTGAGAGTTCAAAGCATCGCTTTAATTATTTCTTTGTCTGCTCAGCTGTTCTATTTGTTTAAAGAAATAATGCAGTTTTTCAAAAATAGCTAGTTGTGTGTAATAGACAGCATATGAGTTTTTATTTAGTAATATACAGATTTGAAAGAAGTCCTTGAACCTGACATATAGAAACAAGAATTTCCAAGTGGCTGAATTCGGCCACAATGAAAAGAGTTGTCTACTGCTACTCTTATTACTCTGATTAACAATAGAAGGAAATGGACAAAAGAAGTTGCTTTCCATTCCATTGAACATAACTGAGAGATGATGGTGGTCAAAACTTTAGATGCTACATTTTCTAAGCTTGATTTCCCCCATTACTGCTAATGTAAATACCACCATTGCCTCATTATATTTGTCACCTTTAGAATTTTCCTTTTCAGAATGAGAACCTCCATTGCTGCTTTTTGCTTTATTCCCTTTCCTTTTTATGATACAGTAATCTAATAAAGATGCAAATCTTATACACACTATAGTAAAAAATAAACCCCATTGTTTGGAGTTCAAATAAACATAGTGCCAAACTTCATTCTTCCTTTAAATGAAGAAGCTTCATTTAAGCTTCATTCTTCCTGTATTTTATGCTAAGATTAATTGAATATTGTGGTTCCCTTCTGAGTAAATATATACCAGATTTAGTGTATGTTTGCAAGAATGTTGGTTACCATATGAAGGATAAAACAATCTGCAGACTAAATGAAAGACTGTCTTTCCTTTCCTTTATAGATTTGGATACATTGCCTAACTTTTATTGCTATGAAAGAAATGTTCTAATATTGAAAACATCCCAAATAATTTGGAACTCAGTTTTGAATACAATCAAATACAATATACAATCCTGTATATTTTGTTACAGACAATGTGATGATTACAACAGTGTGGGAATCTGTGCCTGGTGATTTATGTTTCCTGCTTCCCCACAAAGCCCTTCAAATGTCTCTCTCAGTTATAGGAATTGCCAGAAAAGGAATGGGTTGGAAAATGAGGAGGAAGGGATCTCCCAAATAAGGCAGATTTTATTCTGTGAACAGAGGAGTATCTTCATTTAGCCATATGTTTTCTTCTCTTGAACATCATGAGAAATTCAAGGGAATGAGTAGTTGGCAGTTTCTGGGAGAAAAAGATTTAATGTATAGTTGTTTACTACAGGTAGTCTTCGTCTTACAACAGAAATGGAGCCTGCCCATTCATATCAGAAGTCAAAGACTACTTTAAATGAAATGTAAATGAAGCAACGACCTCCCTGTCCCTGCTTTCCCCAATGTATTCATTAAACAAATGTGTGGGTCGTTAGGTAGAGCATGGGATCTTAGGGATGGGAGAAACCAAGGGAGGCCTAGTGCAGGCACAGGCACTCCTAAGTGGCCTCCCCCACCCTCTAAGATATCCCATGCTCTGCCTCCTGCCCCTTGGTTTCTCCAAAGCCCTATGGGCCTTGTCCACCCAGTCTCCATTCGCTTACTTACATTTTGACGAGCTCAGGAAGTCAGGGTAGAGAAGGCTGCTCCCTCGCTGGGCCATGTGGCACAATCAAGAAGGAGAAATCCCGTCACTTTTGCTTCCATTGCAATCCTTTCCTCTCCAGCCAGCATGAACCACAATTTGTTCTTAGCACTGCCAGCGCTAGCTTTATGCTACTCTTTCGCTGGCGGCGCTAAGAAGAAATTGCACCTAATTTGGTTCCTTGCAAGCCTTTCCTCCCCAGCCAGCATAAATCGGTAGCGATTTACCCTGACTGGGGAGGAAAGGATTGCCATGGAAGCAAAAGAGATGGGATTTCTTCTTTGCTCTACCAGCGTAAGACTAACGTAAAGCTAGCGCCGTACTGTTTCTGATGTATACATCCGTTTTTATTTGTTTGATTTTGTTTTGCGTTTCATGTCGTCTGCCTTGGGAACTATTCTTTTACAACTTTCAGCAACCTGTTACAATAAATTTGCAGAGCATTTTGAGGTGCAGCTTGCCACCCAGGCACTTGTGATGGTTTGTCCTGTCATTTGTTGTCGTGCCTCTTTCTCATCATGGCTACTTTGAATTAGCTTAAAGGGATTAATTGAGGGGTTCAAGGTTGGGGGAAAGCTTCTTTGCATTAGGACATGGTCCTGGTTGCCCTTAAACAGGTCACAATTTAACCCCACCTGGAAAAGGCTTTCTTGGATCTGGGGAGATTGTAATTGTCACCGAGGATTGAATACATGGGCAAGAATTTCTGCCTTTATAATGATTGTAAAGTGCTTTGAGAAGTTTAAAATAAATAATATACATGAAGTCCTCAACTTATAAGCACAACTCAGCCCAAAATTTCAACTGCTAAGTAAGATAGTTGTTAAGTGAGTTTTGCATTTTATGACCTTTCTTGCTACCGTTATTAAATGAATTGCCGCGGTTGTTCACTTAGTAAAACGGTTATTAAGTGAATCTGGCTTCCTCATCATCTTTGCAAAAGGTGATCCCATGACTCTGGGACACTGCAGCCATGATAAATACATGCAAATTGTCCAGCGGCCAAATTTTGATCACATGACCATGGGGATGCTGCAATGGTCACAAGGTGTGAAAAACAGTCATAATCACTTTTTTCAGTGCCATTGAAATTTTGAATGGTTACTAAACGAATGGTTGAAAGCCAAGGACTACCTGTATAAATATTTTTCATAAAATATTTAGATTTGCATACACATTACATGTGGCATTTGCACAAAGATGTGTTTTGTTGGATGAGTCACAAGCTTGCAGACTGACTATGAGGTGAGAGAAAGTAAGAAGTGCACACTTAGCTCTATTTTGAAAAAGAATAGTTAGATTGGATTGGTTTTCCTTACAAATGAATGTCCAAAGTGAAGAAAATTCAGAAATGTAGTCCTGAATCAAAGTACACATGCAAATAGAAATTTTATGTACACTCTTTTAGAGAAGATCTGGCCATGACAAGTCAGTACTGTAAACTCCAATTTATTATATGGACTGCTGAAGCTAACACAACTGTAAAGTGTACCTCAGGACAAATTCTTCTCTGTTTTTTAAATTTAGTAGCTTCCTATATAATCAAAGCGGACAGGAAGTTGAAATAAAAAATAGACAGTCTTAGTGAGAGAAAACAGTTCTTCCACTCTGTCTGTCACCCTCACTTATGTATCAGTAAAGGTATACAAAATTATTTTAACGACCAATTTACTAAAACTAATAATACATTTTAAATAGTTAAATTTGCATGTTAAACAAATTTGCACGTTAAACAGGTCAAAAACTCCTATCAGCATAGGTTTCACTGGGCATTATATTGTACAATTAAATTAACATTTTAAACACCACCATGTCTATACATATTCACATTTTAAATATTTGACTTCCCCCCAAAAAACAATTTAGAGTTTTTCAAACTATTTTTCTAAATTGCAAATATAGGAAACAGATCTCAAATCTTTAAAACTCAAATATTTTTAACATTATAAAAGGTGACTCAGTTCTTTTTACATAATTTAAATATGTAAGTCCTTGCAAAATAACCCTTCTTACTAAAATTGAATAATGTGGAGGGAGTATCATTGGTCTGTTGTTATATTGGGCTTCGTCGTGGAGACTCTGATGTGAAATCATGTTGCAGAGATCCAACTTGAACCATTAAACTGTTATTTAGATA